CGACGGAAAATAAAGAAAAAAAATCAACGCTGATGGAATTACCTGGGTACAGCGAGAATACACGGTGCAAAGTTGCCAGAAACGAAAGAAATTGAAATGTTTTAATCGTTTACCGGATCACCAAGTTTTTGAAAGCTTCGAGGCTCCGCGATACTGAAAACGAAACGCAATAAATTGGTGCGATTCATGGTCACGATTCTCCGATAATTGATTCAGAGAATCATTCTTGAATAATTGACAACTTTGTTCGTCGATTAAATTCGATCTCGAAACCTTGAAAATTATTCAGACATTTAACAAAATATTCATTTCACGACGCAACTCATAATGCGGTATCAAAAGCATCGTACAAAAACACGTTGAATTCTCATCGTTACATATTAATAAACGTTTCTCGTTCAATCGTCCCTTTGCATTTTCCGACTTTGATAAAAATTTACAGTGACGTGTGCGGGACTCCCTTAAAATCATTGCTTTGTCCTGCGACAGAGTTTTACTCAATTTTCGTACACGGGATTAAACGTTCTATTATTTTCAATAATCGGTTTTTCTTTCGAGAGATCCTTCGAGTCGAGCTGCAATTTTTGACAAAGTCGTGCATCCTTACAATTTCTTCAAACGCCGTTTCGCAGAACGAACTATCATATTCTGTTGCACGGCGAGTCTCGAGTTTGGCGGAGTGATTTAACGCTGCGAAAAAATTTTCTTTTCCCGTTATTTCGGTACAAGTATTCCCCGTTGTTTCACTCTAATTAAAAACGACCGTACAACCAATTGCCTCTTCGCTGAGAAAGAAGCAAACGAATTCGCGTTAATTGCATTTGAACGTTAAGTCGGAGTTAATTATATCAGCTTGCAACGAAAATTCTGTTCATTTAACGCATTTCATAATTGTCGTATTTGTAGAACATTCGGAAAACTCCTTTACCCAATACGAACGTTATTTGAAGCCAACCGGGTTAAAAGATTTATACGGGAGCTGGGTTTGTTTAAATTCCTGCGAATATTCATACGGTTGACATTGAATTATACACAAAGTTCCCACGCTGTAACTGCTGAATTTCTGGCTATTGTAATTCCACATCAAGTCCATTTGAACGCCCTACTCTTGGCTTATCTTTCAAACTAAAATCTCCACTTCTGAAACTTGCTAACCATCTCCTACAGGCACTCACATTCACTGTCTCGTGCTAATACGAATTCTGAATGTCTTTTGCTGCTACGCTCGCCTTGGAGCCTCCGTGAAACTCGTACAGTATGGCGTGACGAATGTGCTAGCTCGCTGGTTAATGACTTGAATTATATTAATAAATGAAAATTTATATCGTTTCACAATCTCAATCTTCGTCTGATCGTATACTACTTTGAATTTCTTTCTACGAGCACTATTGCATCATTCAAAAGCTCTGTATTGAAAAATTTTTAATATTATTTTGATTATCGTGTTCTACGACTTTGTATACCGGGGCTTCCCGTTTATCGAATGTATGAAAATAATAAAATGAAGACATAAAAATTATAAAAATTGAACTTCAACGATGTCGCCTCCTATGCTCGCCGCCAGAGGGCTCGCGCTCTCACAAGCACTCGACCGACTTCCCAATATCAGCGACGCAACGCCACAACACGTTGACTGCCAGTTTAAACCCGTAAAATTATTTACAAGACCCCGAAACTTTGATTTTAGATAATTGTAAACTACACAACATAAAAGTTGTCGCAGTAGTTACCTTCGTAACCTCGCTAAAATTTATGAAACCTATTAAAATTTATTTTCTTTAACATTTCGAGAACTATTTGTTTTAGTTCCACTGTTAAAAGTTCTAAAACCCATATGTAGTTGACGTGGCAGTCAAAGTGTTAATATTTAATAAGACTTCCTTTCAGCGTGACGTTTGATAAAACGTTTTCTTTCGTATAACGATACAAACTTTGCGTCGTTTAAAAGAATTTTAAACGACGTAAAATTCGCGTTTTCCGTCGCGAAAGCGTTAACATTCCCCAGTCGTATTCGAAACGAAAGTGACAACGTGAATTACTTGCACCGAAGTCGACTGATCGTTTAATTATGTACAGCAGCTGGCGTCGAGGTCCCCGCAAAAAACGTTCGTCGCGACGTCCAGCCGGTTTTAATCGACAAAGCGATATTGCTGATATTCGTTATACCTACTCGATGTTATCCCGTTATTATAGGAGTAACGCGATCCCGTGGCCATCGTCTGAGAGAAGCGTGGCCCCGGAAATCTCGACCGATATCAACGAGTTTATCTAGAGAGCAATTCCATCGGAAACTGGCGTCTTCCCCTTCCGAATCGACTCCCGACCGTAGCCGTCGGACTCGATTATCGAGATTCGATGCCGCGTCACCGGCGAAACGAGCATAAACATGATCACGGCGTCACGCTTTCAGCGTTCAAAAGGTACAACAAACGGTAGCACGCTGAACTTCTCGAAGATCGACGCGAACATCGCCTCTCGTAAATCGGCAGTGAACTGAGCGGATACGTTACAAAATGCCTATTTCCTATTTAAATCCACTTTCCACGGGGCCGCTTTTGATGTCACGGAGCGGTCAATATGTTTGGATACGTTATTTCGAACGACCTTCGACGGGTGTCCCGCCATTGGCCGTTCGAGATCGAATTTGAATTTTGAACAGGCTGCCTCTGCGAGTCGTTCAATTTCAATCTCGTCGCGCGTTGTTCGGAGAAACATCTCAAAGGACATACGTCCCCCGATGCGACATCCTCGGGATTCGAAGCTCGTTTCAATTTTATTCGCGAAATAGAGACGGATACCAAGCAATCCTCGAAACGATCGCGCGACGAGATTAGAAACGAGACGTCGTGAATCAGAAAGTACAGGAAAGTTTAGATTTAACGATCTGTGGTGTCCTCCGGATTCGATCTCCACACTGCGTCTCCTAGGATGGTCATTTAAATATCATTTTGCGTAGAAAATAGAGCAAACACGGTGAAACGTGTCCCTGGTCTCCGATCTTAAGGGATGAAATTATAATTTAGAGTCAAGTGCCTCGCCCCAGTGAAATATTAATCGATGTGTACCAATTAATTATCTCTTTTTTGCTAAAGTCCAATATTTACCGAAGGACACGTTTTCCAGGCTCGCCGACACACTTTCCACGGCGAGTATGGGCGAGTGTCTAGTAATCTATCATCCTGCACACCGAAATTTTCGAAGCAACGAGTGTCAAATATTTGATATTCGAGTTTGTTCGCCCCGATCGGTACGAAATCGTCCATTTTAGACACGGTCGAGCCTTCCGGGTATGATCGAGAAGGTCCTCGCCGGAAAGATGTACGCCAGTGTACAGTTTCACGATAATTGCAAAGAGTAGCCTCTCCTCACCTGGAGGATCCAAGCTCTCGGAGACCGATATGCATAATTAAACCGTTTACTTAACAATTAGAATCCCGAATGGTGCGGCGACGAACAGAGACCGCGACGATCGACAATCGGATTTACATTGTGCATTTCGATACAAATCACCGATAATTTATTGCCGCCAGGAGTCGACATTTTCAGGAGTATTCAGAGATACGGGCTCGGTAATTCGAGAAATTAAAACTGTTCTTTTTCTCCGGAAACGTTAATAAACGCTTGCAATTTAGCTCTCGAAAGCATTGTAATTTTCGGAAACTGTCCAGTTACGATCAATAAATCATCCAGTTGCGGTTATAATTATTCACTAGCGATGCGTCGAGTATGCTCAACGGCTCGTCAACAATCATCAACTATTCAGCTCGGATCAGGGATTATCACCGGCCCGTTCCACTCGCCGTTTAACCAATAAATTTTCAATCGATCGGTGATTTTCGATCGACGAATACCAGCGCCATTGGCCGGCTCTAAAGTCGCGGCCGCCATCAACTGTTCGTCAACGCCGCGCGACGAAAAGTCGCGCGATTCAATTCTCCCCGATTAATCGAACAACCCTATTCATAACCTAACGCGCGATCTTAACAATGAAACTCGATCGTTAATCTAGCGGCAGACTCGCGTCGCGTGATTTATGTACAACGTATTTACAATTCGGACTGATATGACGAACGCGAGAGATCGAGGATCAGGGATGCTCGATCCTTGCTAAAATTTTTGGAAAATCCTGCGAAACCGATCTCTCGAAAAATTGTTCGATGGACCGTTCGTCTGGTTGCGGCGATTAATTTTACTAGAAGGTGTATCGATTCTCTGGAAAATCGATCAGAATCGAGCATACCTAGCGAGAATCTCGTCTCTCGGTCTCGTTCGGGTGACGACTCGTCCACAAAGGGCGGTTTATATTATTTACAAATCGACTTACGCGTACGGCAGAAGACTTCGAATAAGCGGCTAAAGTGATATTTACAGAAGCGTTCGCGAGGCTCGAGTCGCTGCGTGTCGAAACCAGGGTTATCGTATACGAATAAGCGTCGGCTAGGGCAATTTAGGGCGAATAAATTTAATAAAAAGAATAGCAAGTCGAACTTGCGGTTTGTAGGTTCGTCTGATGGGAAATAAAACACGTGGCAACCCTGATCGAGACATTTGCGACCTACGGTACGTAGCAGGAGTAAAAAGTTTTCGGCCTGACCACGATCTTTTATACATATACTGATATTGGTAAAATTGTTTATTTTTGTTTTTAAATTGGTTCGATTCGTCGCTTTGAAATTTCTCGAATTTTCATTTTGCAAATAGTTTCTGTGATCCAGAGCCAAGCTGCGAGACGGGTCCACCGACTTTGCATTTTTGGGAGAAGACCAACGTTATCGTATCGATTCCCGATTTAAACCAGAATGCAAAGTTTCAGCTTCCAATCTTTCACAAAGTTTCAACGATTCCTCAACTTGTTGGGTCTCTTTTAACAGACGGAACGATTCCACAAACGAAAGTCAAATTTTTCGTATTTTAAAACTGACAGAATATAAAGCATCGATCGTAGGTCGGGGGCTGGCTGCTTTAAAACTGTGCTACGCACACGACCCAGATAGGAATTTATTATGATTTAACAAAAGCAACAAAAACGAGTATTCAATGTCTTGCGTTTATCATCGACACTCTCGAGAACCGTACGACTTTCAAGGCTTTCGAATCAGGTTCGAAGCGTTCCAAATCCCATCACTAAGCCTTGTAAATTCGCTATAAAAACGTACGAATAAAGATAGCGAAGCTTTTCTATCCGCGACGAGATCGGTGCGTCTTGCCAGGCGCCTCGCGAGTGACTTTGTTCGATAAAAGTAAATGTTTACCTACGGCGTGGATAAATTCTCGTTTTCGTTCCGAGCGTACCGCGCAACCTCGCCCTTTTCCCTTCGCGGGAGAACACGCTCCCCTATTTCCCCCGTCGATCGTTTGAAAGACTAAAAATTCTCATACGGCGATCGTCCAAAAAGCACCGGGTGTGCGTCGAACGGTGAAAAAAGTGAAATCGTGTTCGAGGAAACGTTTCTCGCACGAAGTCCCGTCGAAACTATCGTCTTATTCTTCTTCTATGCTCCTCGTCCAGTGCTTCGCCCCGCGGGTTTCGTTGAAAACTTTTTTTGTTCGCGTGGCGCGATCGCCGTCGATGGATCCTGAAAGCCTCGAACGTCGCTTTCGGATAGTTTTTGCCTTTTACGTTTTCACGTGGCCCGCTGAACGGATTTACCAATTACGAGTGCACATTGTTTCGGGAACGAGCGGATAGAAAACCCTAAACAGCGAATCGAGAGACGGAACACCGAACGAAGGATCTTACCTCGGTCCCCGTCAACGGAATCCTCATTGTTCGAATCCCATTGTCAACTTCGGTATTCGAGGAACTAGACTTTGAACAGCCCACGGAATCACGATCACTATTCTTACACAGTGACCTCCTCGGAGAACCTGCTCTTGTCGTCCAGGTTGATGACTATGGCGTGTGTTCTGGCGTGGCCGGATTTGCTCTTGCCTCTATCCCTCGTCTCCACCTCTTTGTCCTCCTGTTTCGTCTCCGTTCCTACATCCTCCGTGGCCGGTCTACCGGAAGTGGAGACGGCTACGTCGTTGGTTCTCACCTTTTTCTTCGACTCCGTTGGAACCGTAGCCGTAGCCTCAGACTCTTTGGAATTCATCTCCATGCAGGCCTGACACCTCTTCTTCTCCTTGGACTCTCCACCTGAACGAACGTAACATTTTTTACTCAGAATCCAGAGAATAAAACGTAAGCTTTGCCAAATTTATAGAGAGGCCAGGTCGTCGACACTCGATGTTTACCTTTTTGATTCGCGTCGCTCTGATAGGATCCACCAACATCCGTCTCGACGATCGCTGTGGATCCATTAAGTTCGTTCAATCTCATGCTCGAGGAGATCGCCTGGATCGTGGACACCCGAGTTTCCGCGCAATTTGCTGCTTCCTGCATCGCTGCTAGCTTGTTCACCAAGTGGTGATTTCCAAGGAGGACATTCTTTTCCTTCAGGATCTCCAACTGATTGATAAATCGACGGAATTCCTCCTGAAACGATCGATAGAACAAGCGGAGGGGGGTGAGTTAAACGTAGGCGAGTAATGGAGCGTGAGGAATATTCACACGGTAGAAAAGTGATCGATTAGGGTAATCATGTACCCTATAGCGAGTCGCATTGTGTCTCAGCAGGTCTAAAGAGAACGAGAAACAAGTTTCCAATGTTTCGATTTGTGTCTATGTATAAAATAGGTGACGATTAATTAATTAGTTCTGCATAGGTAGTGGACACCAGCCATTAAACAATGCTAATAAGTCATCGATAATAAATACTACGTAACGACCAATAATAAGGTAATAAACAACGAGCAACGAGTATTAAGTAATAGATTACGGGTCATAAACCACAGAGAAATAGCTCATTGATCACGGATTATAGACTGCAACCACTGTGAAATAACTGACAACTGGTCAATGGTAGATAATTACTTAATTATTAATGCGATTCTGTTTCTGATTACGTCATGTTCTCGCGTTATAAGTTGTCGGTATTGAATGTTGTCGTAATTACGAATTCACCAAACATGCCCGTAATTGATTTAACCAGCCTATAACCTGATCGCCATTTGTGATTTTCAAAGTGTTCATGTTGTCGATAATTAAATGCAATCAGCGGGATCTAAATTTACAGCACCCGGCATTAATGTCACTCAGTTGCGTGTAAATAGAAATTACAGTGCGCCATTTCGAAAGTACATCCTCCCTTCGAGTGCATCGTTCAATCTACCGCGCTCGTTCAAGTTGAATAGCAATTTCAGCTTAATCATACGTCGAGTATTAAAACGATTTAAATGAAAATACCAACAAAATCTGGATTACCTTGTATGCAGAATTCTAATAGAGTTACAATGGCGCCGTGGTTCGAGTCGCGACTTAAATTGTTTATGTTTGCGTAGGATTTAATTAAAATCGTCGGAAAAGTTGTTCAATGGTTGCCTGAAACGTTGAACAATCGCTTTACCATTTATTAAAGCGAAGCTTTGCTTCGACATTTTTGCTCCGTTTTTATTATTTGGTTCCTGGGGTATCGACGTTGCTATTCTATGCTGATTGTATTCACCTGAATCCACACAGAAGTACCAGTTGACAAAGCAACGACAATGTGGATCTTTCCTTTAACGTAAGAGATAGCAAAAGGTACGCCAGCGTTTGCAACAAGATTATGGAGATTGCAATTAAAAATAATGGTTTGATTTCACGTGATCCGTAAAAGGCAATCTCATAGAAAATCCGCTTAACTGGAAGATCTCCCTAATGAAGTTTTCAAGAATCGGTTACAAAGGCTGCTACTAAAGTTATACTGGTAAATCCTCAGCGATATCCTATAAGCTTATTAAAAGACTGAATGCGAAGCATGGTGTTTTCCATTATTTAGTATATCCACTCGAAACTAGTCGAAAGCAGACGACAATCTTGTTACGCGAGGCAGCAACGGAGTTATATTTCCGAGAATGATAAAAACTATTTTTAATACTTATAATAAAAAAATTCTCTTTTCAGACATCGGTAGAAACTATTTGCAAGGTGTTTTAGGTACACCATCGTTGTTGCGATACGACAGGTGGACTTAGAAGAAACGTACACGTTACAGTATACTTTGCAGAGATTTTTAGCTAAGGTTTCAAAAGGTTTTCTGTTTAAATCCCATTTGGCGGAGACTGGATGTCGTTCGATCCCGCACAGTGCGTCAGCGACTATTTAAAACTTCCAAAGGGATTGCCGAAAGCGGGGCAGAAATCGTTCTGGCGATTGGGCAGATCCGGTGGCGCGGATCCTGGACCAGTTGCATTAGCCTCGACACAAAGGTACCGCGAAAAATGTCATCCTCGGGGCTTTTAGGACAGCGAAGATTGCCGGATAATCGCAAAAAGCCTGGAAAATCGCGTCGACCTCGAAGATATGGTCGCCTGGACGCGGAAAAATGACGGCTAGCTTCGAATCGACTGTAAAGCTCGATCGTTTCTTCAGAATCTTTAAAAAAGTTCCTGTTTGGACTTTCAAACATTGTTGTTGTCAAAAAGCTTAGGACGAGTTCTTTATTCCTTTCAAATATTAATAGTACAGAATTTACCGGAATTGTTTAAATTTAAGGAATTTGTAACTTTACCATCTTACTGCCTCATTCGACAATACGAAATCGACGTATATTAAGGCGTGTAATTTACGCGACGCACACAGTAATTAGTTTTTAAGGGATATTTTCGGCCCAGATAGCTGCATACCACCCACAGCGGGTGGAACGTAAAGTTTTGAATGAACTGGCCCATACGGGATGGGTCAGTTTCTATTTGCCAATCAAGACACCCCTCATAATTGAATTTTTGTATTTAAACAATGACCAAACAGGGAGAGCTCAGAATTCGATTAGATTCAGATATTCAAGAACTTATATCAATTGAACCGTTTATACAGAGTGTTCGGCCACCCCTGGGAAAAATAAGACGAAAATCAAGAATACCAATTTGTTGATGGAGGCTTCGTTAAAAAGTTATTAACAATTAAATTAAAAAATTTCAAATCGTTCTGGAAAAATTATTTTCGGTTGCAGGGGTCAATTACAATTATTTTCGGTGAATAAACATACCACTGAAATCCTATCCGCTGTCGAGAAAAAAATTCGAAAGTACTGAAATTATTAGACGAAATTAAAAAATTTCAAATCATACTGAAAAATTATATTTAGTTGCAGGGGTCAATTACAAGCATTTTTGGTCATAACACATACCCCCGAAATCCTACTTAGTTTCGAGAAATTACTTTTGAACGGCTCGAAGGATTTTAATGTTTCAAAAAGCAAACGACGCGTATTTTGGTGAAGAACAAGTAGAAATTCCAAGAATATTCGGAAAGTTGTTCCTTGACACCATAAAGTGAGAAAAACCCCATAAAATTGATCCAATTTTCAAACAGCCGTAACTCCTACAATAGTAAAGGTATCTCATTAAAATTTTTTTCTGAAGCAGAGCCCATGGGCATCTACAAAAATGTACTAGACCACTTTTCTATAGAGTATCTAGTATCATAATGGTAAATACTGTCATCCATGTATTGAACAATTTTTCAGTAAAATTAAAAAATTTCAAATCATTCTAAAAAAATTATTTTTGGTTGCGGGGGTGAATTACAATTATTTTTGGTCATTACACATACCCCCGAAATCCCAGTCACTTTCTAGAAAAAAATTCGAGGAGGTGTGAAATTTTTCGATGGGGGAAAAAATTTCAAATCGTTTTGGAAAAATTATTTTCGGTTACGGGGGTCAATTACAATCATTTTTGGTGAATAGACATGCCCCCGAAATCTTGCGCATTTTCGAGAAAAAAATTCATTACGGACGGAACTTTGAACGTTAATAAGTTTTTAACGAAGCCTTCATCAACAAATTGGTATTCTTGATTTTCGTCTTATTTTGGCCTGTAGAATCACCCATTAAAATTTTTCCCAGAGGTGGCCGAACACCATGTTTATATATTCAAATCGTTAATAAATTATTGTGTTGACAAATAAGTGTTGTTTTCTTTTCTATTCACGAACTTGGTACCTCTCCGTTTCCTTTCTATTCCACGATATTACAAAATTTTATTTGGCGAGTAAACCTGAAGGTTAAAAGAAACTAAAGGTAGAGACCACTGAGCGTCTTCGAGATTATAGAAACGCATACGAAATGGAAGTTTGTTCTCCGTGGGGTCTTAGCAATTATATTTCTCCGTTATCTCGTCGTCTGAGCCAGAGATGCCTTTGGATTCGGTTAGAACCAATCCGCCCTGGGGGAGGAAAGATACAATCTTAGAACGCGATCGTTATATCCGATTAGTTAAGGATAGAATTCAATCAGCGACGAGACAATCCCGCCCTCATTAAGTTCAGACGGATGGCAAATCCGCCGATGGGAACGAAAACGGAAGACGGAATCGTGTTTTACGAAGGAACTGAACGCAACCTTCGAAGCTTGGGGAATCGTAGCCTCTCCGTACTATCGCAAACATTGACTCGGGCTCCTCTAATGCCAATATTACAATTAACGCACGGCAATACGCCGTGCACTATTAATCGGCTTTTCGTACAATAGAACCTACTGCTTGAAGGTCTATTAATCGAGATCTGGCCGCATTGCGTGCCGAGATATATATGGGGCGTATCACACAATGATAACGACCACGTACATTCTCAGGGGATTTAGCATCGGGGGAAAATAACCATTAAAAATCAGTTATCCAATTTTACACAAAATAGTCCGCGTTGTTCGTTATTTCGATAAATTTATAATCCACGTAATTTCGTCAGTTTTAATGCCACGTAACAAATCTACAGTGTTTTAATTAAATAAATTACTTTTCAACCTAGAGACAGATTATTCCCCAGTTATTTAATTTTCGGTAAATCGTAAAGAATCTATTGTTTTGAATCGCGAGTTTCTGAGTTGACGGATGGAAATTTCTTCTCGATTGCGGGTAATTATCAGCCTTTGAAAGCCGTGTCGCCTCGTTGAAACCGCCTTGTTAATTCATTATCGCTTACCCAGCGCATTAAACGCACTCTACCGAGCGAGAAGTTACCCGCGCGAATCATCCCTATTAACGGGCTAGAACGTACATTGCCCACGGTCGACGTAATACATTGCCACGCGATGCATTTCGGGATCTCCCAGTAAACATGACGCGAAAAACCGACCAAGCTCCGTTAAGTGGAAAACAGATTCGGCCGTCGTGAGGAATTTTATCTACGGCGACGGCCATTAATTTTCGAACACCGCGAGCTATTCTTCTGCATACAGGGTGCTCCCGGTATCCACGCCACTACCGACGAACATGAACGAATCTACGGGAGGAAACAAGTCGAAAATGTACAACAAAACTTCTCCGTACGACGCTTCGTTTCAAAGATAATCAAATTTGAAAATTTCTCTGGCGCGTCTGACCATTCATCGCTGTTTCTACTTGCAGTCAATGTGCAACTCGGGACTCGAGCTAAAAAACTATTTTAATCAGTAGATAGCAAGTAAATGTTTTCCTTTCAGAACATATTCGTTTTTTAAATACTTTTCTAAGTCAACTAGATTAATGAAATTCTTAAATGATGGAAATGTAATCGAAGTAAGGAGTTATAAACGACAAGAACCAATGTTATTGTTTCGTATAGAGGGTGTTCCTGGTATCGATGGTACTACTGACGAATATGAACGATTCTACTAAAGGAAATAAGTCGAAAATGTGCAACAAAACTTCACCGTGCAACGCTTCGTTTCGAAGATAATCGAATTTGAAAATTTCTCTGGCGCGTCTGACCATTCATCGCTGTTTCTACTTGCAGTCAATGTGCAACTCGGGACTCGAGCTAAAAAACTATTTTAATCAGTAGATAGCAAGTAAATGTTTTCCTTTCAGGACATATTCGTTTTTTAAATACTTTTCTAAGTCAACTAGATTAATGAAATTCTTAAATGATGAAAATGTAATCGAAGTAAGGAGTTATAAACGACAAGAACCAATGTTATTGTTTCGTATAGAGGGTGTTCCTGGTATCGATGGTACTACTGACGAATATGAACGATTCTACTAAAGGAAATAAGTCGAAAATGTGCAACAAAACTTCACCGTGCAACGCTTCGTTTCGAAGATAATCGAATTTTAAAATTTCTCTGGCGCGTCTGACCATTCATCGCTGTTTCTACTTGCAGTCAATGTCTAACTCGGGACTCGGGCTAAAAATCTATTTTAATTAGTTAAATAGCAAGTAAACGGTTTTCTTTCAGAATATATTCTTCTTTTAAATACTTTTCTAAGTCAACTAGACTAATGAAATTCTTAAATGATGGAAATGTAATCGAAGTAAGGAGTTATAAACGACAAGAACCAATGTTATTGTTTCGTATAGAGGGTGTTCCTGGTATCGATGGTACAACTGACGAATATGAACGATTCTACTAAAGGAAACAAGTCGAAAATGTGCAACAAAACTTCACCGTGCAACGCTTCGTTTCGAAGATAATCGAATTTTAAAATTTCTCTGGCGCTTCTGACCATACATCACTGTTTCTACTTGCAGTCAATGTCTAACTCGAACTCGGGCTAAAAAACTATTTTCATTAGCAAATAACAAATGTGTATGCAAAAGTTTTAGTCCGTTCTTCAAGCATCGAATTATAATTATTTTCAAAAAATATAGTCTCTCTTTTTTCGTGTATTTGTTTTGTATTCGTTCATCTGAGGCTTCATGGTAGATTTTTAACGGTGAATTCATCAAATGGGGGAAAATATTTCGAAAATTAAATTACAATTTATTATGTATAAGTAAAAGGAAATTAAAAAAAAAGATTAAAACTTATAGACCTAATGAATATATTTTGTTTTAGATCGTATTTAAAAAAAAAAATATTTTCCAAAGTCAACTAGATTAATGAAATCTTTAAATGTTGAAAATGCAATTGAAAAAAGAAGTTACGACCAAAATCGACCAGAGAGATCATATTTAGAATACTACTTGTCGAGTTATGGTTCTGTTTCCCAGAAACCACCGTCGCTTCCGCAACTCTCAGATAAAGGATGACGAATGAAAACTTTTAACACGTTCTGTATGTAGTTCAGACCCCACCGGTGTGGACCATTTGGATTTTATCTATGAAAAACTCACCAACGAATAAACGTTACGAGAACGATGACGAAGTCAAAACAGCAATCGCCTAAATTATGGGGTGCAAGCTCGTAGAAAGTTAGCAAAACGTTGATGGAATTTAAGAGCGATTTGTTTCCCCGAGAAAGATTATATTTCAAGCATGTTGTAATTGTTTGGAGTTTGTATCGGTATAAACTCCGCGTGAACTTTTCCCCGGTACTTAACACGACGGAAACTCGGCGCAGAGGTCACTGTAAGAGTGAAAATCTGAAAATTGCTGTTGGTAAAACACTCGTTAAACTAACTACCATTAAAAAAAGTTTCTTTACGATCCGATGCACCGAAAAGGACTTTGACCGACAAATTAATGTCGCCTGTAAAAAGTGACGACGTAAAAATTGACTCTAAACTCGCGGAGAATATTTCTCGTCGATGGTATCACGAAAGATGGTCGTCGATTGTACGAATTATTTTGTGTAGTAACGATAGAATCGTTCGAAATAAAAACGTTCCAACTTTTTAGAGCCACGTTCCTCGCGGGTGCGCCAGGTAGGTACATTAGTGAGGCGTCACCGCGGAAGTACCATTAAAGACACATTTTTCGCAGATGGTAGCGGTACCAGATGCGACGCGAATGTAGAAAATGTCGCGAGCAGGAACGGGTGGTTTACTTCGAAGTGCTCTTACCGTTGCTCCGTCGCTCTCGTCGGTGAAGATACCCTGCTGAAGGGAGATCGAGTTCGTCTGGTTACTGGTGCCCGCTGGGCGGCTGCTCTTCCCCAGAAATTTCCCGGTGGCCCCGGCATGTTTCGCGTCGTCCTTGCCCCCGCTACGGAACACCACGTAGGCCTACATTAAACAGCCAAGTTTCAGTCTCGCAGACACCATTTTTCCTCGTTCGCGTCGTGTCTCGCGAATGGGAAAGTTTCGGTGCCGTTAAACTTCCATTGGGCCCCGCAGGAAATTCTGCGGTTCGATCACCCGATTAAATTCAAATTCTCAAACAATTTCTCACTAATGTTCGTTGAAAGCGAGAAACAGAGTGTGAACGAAACAGAGAGAAATATTCGTTTGTTTATTGGGCCCGAGAGGAAATTCTGCGGTTCGATCACCGATTAAATTCAAATTCTCAAACAATTAATTCCTCGCTAATGTTCGCTGAAAGCGAGAAACACAGAGAGTTAACCGAAATACAGAAAAATGTTTGCTTGTTTATACTACAGGCTCGAAAATTGTTTGGAAGTCAAAATGTTTGTAGTTCTCTTCATACATTGCGTGATTTACGTATTTAAGCTTGATATAGGAAAGTTTTGCTAATAACTCTATGAGTTGCTGGACACCGCGAAAAATATCGAGGGGAAAGAGTGGCGAAAATTACTCGAATTGTCTCTTTGCTATCTACATTCAATGATGTGAACCGATTTATAGTTATTATAGTTATCCTACAGATCACATCTTTGCAAACATTCACAAATCTCAACCCCTTGACATACAATTTAATTCCAAATAATATTTCAAAGGTATACTATTTAATTTTGTTTCAAAGAATGGCCGCGAAAAAGAATAGATATGTTTTATGAATACCTCGTGAATGCAAAAATATATAAGTACACTGCGTAACTTTACTCAAATTCATACTTTTATTAATAGATTTAATGAAATGGGAACTTTGTAGAGGGTTATCTCCCCCAAATATAATTCGTATCTCACTTTAAGGGAGGAAACCAAAAAATCGAAATTTTTTTTATCTCTTTTCAATGCTTGGGGTTTTAAAAATGGCCCTCTGGAATATTAAAGTAAACGAATAGTTATTTATTCAACTTCAGAACTTAAAAACAAAATAAAAGGAAAATTTATACAAAATTAATTAAAAATGTGTAAAAATGTACAAACAAGTTCTTTAATTGAAGCTACACACAAGACTTTAGAACAAAGAATAGAACTTTGTGTTGCAGAAGATGGAATGCAGTTCGAACATTTAATTTATTTACTAATTACATGCGTGTTTTCAGTTTGAATTTTCGGTCGAATAATTAGTTTCAACGTCGTGTTAAATGAAATATTGATTTTGTCACAGTTTTTTTAGACTTTTCCTTCAAAGTTCCACCATTTCATAATAAATAGTTATTTTTAAAAATCCGTACGTGCAGCTGCAACTACTGTCTCATAGTTTAAGAAAATTTCATGATTTCTTGTATCGTCCGCCAGTTTCTAACAAATTTTTGGAGGCCTCTCAACACTTTATTGCTATAACAATGAACATTTTTGTACGAAATTTTTACAAGAAGTTTTTCAAAAAATGTACTTTCGAAAACATTGAACACTCATCAGAGAAAGTTTCATAGTTAGTGCCAAAAAATTCTTGAAAATTGCCTTTATTTTCAGCCGTCACAGTGGTTTCCGCCCTTAAATGTTTCTTATATTTTTCCATATCAAGTGCACTCTGTACTTTTTTGAGAACTAAAATTTCCCATAAACGTATGTATGAGACCCCAGTATTCCCCATATGGGGAAATAAATCGCCCGGTCGTCGATCGGTTGAAGACGTAACCGCGTCGATCGCGACGGTTCAAGAGTTGTTCGCGAAACGTCTGCTTAAAGGCAATGATTTTTCATCCCCGCCGCGGTCCGAATAACAAATCGCCCCGACGTAGCTCGTGCCCGGGCACTTTACAACTTCCGCGGCTCCGGGCCCCGATGATCAATATGCAAGCCGCGGAATAAATAAATTTCAAGAGCCGCAGGGGTGGGGGGAAAGGCGGTCAACGGTGGGACCGCGCTCCTGGAATTCACGATTCCGCGGCGACCGCGCCATTTGTTACCTGGCAGACGACGCAAAGCATAAATATAAAAAAGTCCGACGGTCTTACCTTGCTGCCGAATATGAGGCACAGCAGCAGTGTGACGGTAAGCTGGGTATGACAGAAAAATATCACGTACAATAAATCCGGATTGGCCGGCGATTGCAAGAACAACCTGCAACGAGAAAGATTGCGCTCTCAGGGTTCGTTCTTCAGCCATCTGGACGCGTTGCTCGTCGCGTTATTACGAATGGACCGTAACTACGAGACGCAGAAACGTATCTGTGGCTGTTCAAACTATTTTTTGTTTTTCTTCCTAGCACGGATACCAGTTTATCCGAACAACGAGATTAGGGAGGTTTCTTGGCATTCTCGTCGACCAGACGGGACATTCTATCGGCTCTAAAATTTCTGTGTGACGTTCCACGGGCATTTCGGTGGGCCTTAATGGGCTGGTCTATCGGTGAAAATGCCTGTCAAACTCGTTAAGTTAATTTGCTGTCTAACTGGTAATACACTGTCGCTAATTGGACACCAACACACCGCAGGGTGTTCGTCAAATGTTTCGTGCCGAACTCTGTCGCCGCGCCGGTGTCCTGTTAATTACGAAAGTTGGAAAATGTTATATAAAGAGAACTTCATGAATGTTTCGTACCTCGGGGCATTCAGCCGACGCGCATCACGGAATGTGATCCGAGCAGACTCTTTGAGAGTCAACGTGCCTCACGAGGTCGCTTCGCGGATTGCCCGGCGCAATAACGTTTGTTCGAAACGCCTCGAGACCCTCGAACTTCCACCAGAAATAAACTCGATAGATAATTAACCGATCCACCGCGAACAAGACGCGTGCACCGCTGAAAAGTTTCGAGCGCCCTTCGAACGTTAAAATAAACCTTCGTTCGTGCCCCGAATAGGCTGTGTTCGAAATATTTTAACCACCCGTTATTTCTTCCACTTTTCTAGCGCAATGAGTCCTTTTTTATTTATTTTGATGGTAACTTTGTTATACAAAATAGTACAGTATCAGACGACACTTAATTCAAATTTCAATTATGCTAATGAAACTCCTATTGTCTCTTAATATGCAGAGAATAATTATTTGCTAGGATAATACGTGTTCCATTAGTATAATTGATTGTTAAATAGGGTGTCATCCGAATGAGACCACGAAATAACGACGATTCTACTCGTCATTGTACATATAAAAGTGTCAAAGTAAGATCATTGTGAATGGTTTACGAGATACTTCGTATTTTATGTCAAAGTCAGATATGAAACGCGTCGTAAAGCATTCATTCTTCGAACAGCTTTCCTTAGCATTTTCATACGAAGTATGTCTGGTAGAATCAGTTATCCTGAAGCGGAGTATGCAATTTCGTTTAAAAATACACACATTTAAATCTGAGTCGAGACACGTTCGAGGTTCGCGAAATGAGACTTTTCCATTTCCGTCTTTTTCTACCGTTCTTCTAGCCAATTTCTCTGCGTACGGGTATAGCAAACTCGTAGCTCGAGCTGTTGCTCCAAAGTTTTCCAACCACCATATGGGCTTCCAGAAGAGTCGAAGGACCGAAGTTCTGACTTCCATCTTCCCTTGCACGGGAGGCTCCAATTTCCCGAACAATTCGCTGTTCGTTAGACTCCGCTGTCGCACAGTTTAACGTTACAAAGGTTCGACATAACGAATTACGTTATAATTAGGCGTATGATTAAGCGCTAGCCGAAAGCACTGTGAATGACGCGAAGACATCGTTACGGAAGTAACGTATACAGGTTGTTCGGCCACCCCTGGGAAAAATTTTAATGAGAGATTCTAGAGGCCAAAATGAAACGAAAATCAAGAATACCAATTTGTTGATGGAGCCCTCGTTAAAAAGTTATTAACGTCTAAAGTACCGCCCGTACTGAATTTTTTTGTAGAAGATGGGTAGGATTTCGGGGGTAGGTCTATTCACCGAAAATTCATGTGATTGACCCCTGTAACTAAATATAATTTTTTTAGTATGATTTGAAATCTTTTAATTTCGTCTAAAAACAGTATTTACTCGAATTTATTTCTCGAAAGAGGGTAGGAATTCAGGGATATGTGTATTCACCAAAAATGATTATAATTGACTCCCGTAACTGAAAATAATTTTTCCAGAAGGATTTGAAATTGTTTATTCGCCGAAAAATTTAGGCAATTACACCCTGTCGATTTTTCTTAAATATTCGTTTTTCGTTTTTAATAATTTTGTATGACGCGCTACGGAAAAGTTGTCTAATACTTTTTTGTAGGTACCTATGGGCTCTACTTCGGAGAAAAGTTTCATTGAAATATATTGACTATTGCAGGAGTAATGGCTGTTTGAAAATTGGACCATTTATATGGGGTTTTTTTCATTTTGCGAGGTTAAGGAACAACTTTTCTAATATTTTCGAAATTTCTACATATTCTCCACTAAAGTACGCGTCATTTGCATTTTTAAACTTTAAAATCGTCCAATCTGTTCAGGAGTTATAATATTTTAAACATATGCATGAAATTTCAGTGAAACATATCAATGTATGGTCAGACATTATATTTTCGGTAAGGAATTTTTTTCTCGAAAGTGCGTAGGAATTTGGCAGTATGTCTATTGACCAAAGATGATTATAATTGACTCCCGTAACCGAAAATATTTTTTCCAGAACGATTTGAAATTTTTTAATTTTGTCGAAAAATTTCACACCTTTTCGAATTTTTTTCTCGGAAGTGAGTAGGATTACGAGGGTATGTCTAATGGCTAAAAATGATTGTAATTGGCCCCCGTAACTGAAAATAATTTTTTTAGTATGATTTGAAATTTTTTAATTTCATTTAAAAATTTCAGTACTTACTCGAATTTTTTTCTCGAAAGCGGGTAGGAATTCAGGGGTATGTATATTCACCAAAAATTATTATAATTGAGCTCCGCAACCAAAAATAATTTTTCCAGAACGATTTGAAATTTTTTAATAACTTTTTAATGAAGCCTCAGTCAAGAAATATATATTTTTGATTTTCGTTTTATTTTGGCCTCTAGAATTTCCCATTAAAATTTTTCCCAGGGATGGCCGAACACCCCGTATAGTCTATACAACACAGCCACCTCGAATAAGCCTTTGAATCAACGTAGGGACACGGATTGGCAAGGTCTGTTGATTCAACTAGTTTCCAAACAACCGTGTAGTGCTATCGGAGAATTAACATCTGTCGTTAGGTTCGTGATCCGAAAGTTAACAGACGAATGTTTTAAAAATGTAAAAATCGACGAAAAGGAACCCCAAAATTTCCAACCATCCTTTGGCAAAGGCTTACGTGTCGCGTGTAGGTGTGGTGATTCCAGGGCGAGCGTAACTCGACCCCGTCGCGTAAAATGTTTGGCTTAATTCGATATCATTCCAAACACTGACTATGGGTAAGAGGCGGCGCGCGCTCGTAACATTACTTATTCCAAACATGTTCCCTCGCACCGAGGCATAACAGCTTCCGATGTTCTGCTCCAGTTCACGGCAAATGTAGCCGCGTTTCAACAGAATACATTATTAAAATTAACGATTCGTAGCTAGAGCTATTGTTACGCGCTCCGAGGATGCGTTCGACGTATCAAATTCAATGATGCAGTTGCAGACAGAGATAATAGGAAGGATTCGCGCAACCTCCTGATCAAACATTTTTCATTAATTAACGCCGTTATACTATGGAAATTGTACTACTTACACATACTAACATCCTTCCCTTCAATTTTCGTTATTACTACTTTTTCCTTCCCACAACTTCGTTGGTTGCTTAATGACCATCCTTTCCACCAGCCAACGATATTTTCTTAACTCATAAAATGAAAAATTTTAATATTCTATTAATAACAAAGATACTTGTTATTTAAAATTGTAATTTGCGTGTGACGTGTACGTGTTATCATTGGAAAATCGTGTCACCAATCGTTATCTATATTTTTCAACGAATTCACGGACGTAACAATGAATCCAAACGCGATAAAATACCTTCGAGCTTTCTCGTTTAATTCACCGGTTAGCTTTTACATACAGTCCGCCCGATTTTTCTCTAAGGCGACTCAATGTATTGGCTGGATACACAGAAGCAGTTTCGAGTGGAATCTCCCCTTTGACGTTAAAAGCCCCGCTTCTTCGTCGATTCGCTTTTATTACGAGGAGAAGAACTACAAAATCGTATAATACTCTTCAAAGGTCAGGCTTAATAATTCGTGATCTCTTTTTCTGGAAGTTGCGGTCTTCGGTTAGAAGTTGCACGCTAGAATGTACGACGGATCGTATTTCGATCGTACAAAAGCCCTAGTAGCCCAGCAGTAGCGTCAAAGGGTCTTTGAGTTAACAGAATTCTGAGATATACTCACATCGAGACGTTGAGGAAGACGGACAGTAGAAATTCGTTGTAAATCGCCATCGAGATGAATCGACTTTCATTGAACTCCGACGGGGTCTTTCTCACCACGATGCACAATCTGATCCCCCATATCAGAAATATCACCTCGACTGCAACAAAGTAAAAATTGTTTCTCCTGTAATCGTCATTTTCATTCTCGTCGAAACGCGAACGTGAATAAGGTTTTGATAGGAGAGTTGACCACCAAACTAATGACTAGTCGAAACAAAGGAAATGGGAATTTTACAGACGTTTTTCAACGTTCCGTCGAACAGTGGAGGATTTAACAACCGTCCGTCGACCAAGTTGCCAATGAAGTTTTCGATGACTATTGAGCCCCGATTTGGCTGTCGTTACTCGGTTTTCCCATTCGAGGCTCGTCGAAACGCGTGATACGAGGCGAAATAAAAGAAGAGGGACGTACCATCGGATCGCAGCAAAAACTGCCAGCCAGATCGGTTGACGGTACCTGTCGCTAGCGAACTTCCACAAAATTGACGTACGTGTAGTAATTGGTTTTTTTCACCTACGAATTCTTTTTCTTTCCGCCCTATAATCGCACGACTGTCCGTCGAAACCGGAATCATAGACCGAGAAGATAATTAAACAGGAGGGCCCCGACGCTTAAATTATAATTCGTATCAAAAGTACGCGTGGCCAGTTATTTTCCTTCGCCGTAAACTCGATTTCGGTTTATTTCCAATTTTTTAGTCATATTCGAGACCAACAATATTACGATATATTTCAAATCCATCAAAATCTCGGCCCGCAAAAACTGATTCGATGTCGAACGACCATTTTATTCCATCGGCACCATTTATACGTCGTTATAGTGTTTGCAGAGATCCAGTACGTCGACGTTTAAATTTCCATTCGCTTGGAATTCAATTTTCCGTGAAACGCGAGCTCCGGGCGCGAAGGAAAACATTCGTTTCCCGCGATGTTTAACGCTTTCCATCGAAGCGATTATCGCGAATCCTTCGATCTCGTTACAGCTTTTCAACCGACGAAACTCGTTTTCTAGAAACGAGTATCTCAGCTTCCGGTTGATGGATTCGTCCCGATCGGCTGCGCCGCGATTCGCATCTCAAAATTAAACCGCCCTCGTCCCGAAACCGCTATTGGATTGTTACGAACCACTCGTGGATTTCTTATCACGGATGCTGAAACACCGCTTTTCGTGACGAAAGAGCATTCTCATCGGTCAAAGTACGTCAAAGTCCGCGCGTTGAACAAAGCCCTCATTATAATCCTCGCTTTATTTTTTCTTCTTCCGAACGGATCATATTTCGTTTCAAATTCAGAATTCTCGAAATTTTTCGGATTACAAATAGTTAATACTGTTTTCTTTACGCAAGTGTTATCTTCAATTAAAACAGTGTTAAAGCGATGCATTATATTTTGACGTTGCAGATTATACAAATATCGTTGTATTTCTTTCTTAAAACGTACAGATTTATTTACAATAACATACAAAAAAAAAACTTAACCAAAAACCTCAACAACTATGCAACTCTCTCATCATCACTGCCAACTTCCACAACCAAATCACCATCGATACCATTCACAGGAGATTATCCCCTAACAAATATCAATAACAGTTCAACATACTTTCTTATATATCCTATAGAATTTAGAGTATTTAATAACTCCGCGAGGGATTAAGCAAGCCCAGAACTTTTGGTTGCGCCAACCTCTGTTACAGATCATTATCTTCCGTGAATAATAGTACTTTCGCTAAAACTATAGGTTACGTGGATTTCAGCTTACGGCGCGTCGGGAAGTAAATGGAAGAACGAGGTGGAAGGAATTTATTATTATTTCCCATAGGCAAAGTTCCGCGGGAACCGTCGCCCGAATAAATTCACCGGCGAGTTCGAACACCCCTGCAAATAAAGGATGAAATGAGGAAGAAAGCAAAAGAAATGATAGCCAATTTTATCGCGAAATGAAAAGTAACGATCGCGGGAACCGATTTCGTTCCCGCTTCCTCGATTCCGCGGCGACGACATAAATAATCCTGGCGGGAGTAGCATCCGTGAAACAATACGTGGCTCAGAATTTATCCGCGGACTCGTGGCAATCGCAAACAAACGTGATAAGATACAAACGAGGCTGAAAATACTATCTCAAAGATGGCCGAAGAGTAATGATTACTAAACTTTCTCGCGATAAGAAATATGCGGTTTCGTGGAAAACATTTCTTCGCTTGCGGTTGTATTCGTACGTCAGAGGTCCTATTCTATGCAGAGTCATTGTATCGGCTAGACAGTCGTTCTGACGTTTAGGTAGCAGTTCAGTTAATCTTGCTGACGCTTATTTAGCAGATTACGTGTACAGTATTATGGCCTGTTAAGTAATACTTAGCCACGGTAGGATACTGGATAGGCAGTCTTATACACCGAGTCTGAAGCTTTATTGATACGTGACTAGCCTTCTGCAGGGGAGCATTGTATCCAACTAGGGGAGTATATATCCTTAATGACGTCTTCGTTAGCAGATCCAGGACGAACATAAATCCGTTATCCTACCGCCTTTGATAGGACCGCGTCTCAGTCACTCGCAGACCCTAACAGTTTTCTAACTCGATTATAACCGAATAAATTCTCCGTCGTTCCTTCGGTCGTGCAAGTTGATAAATGTTTAACTCACGTTTCTTTGGACGGGCCGTAAAAGAAACTTTCCATAGTCGCGATATAAAAAGTATCGCACGTAGCGTTGTTCTTCCGCCACCAGAAACGCGTGAGTTTTCTAAGTCGTTCCACGTTTCTCGCGTAGCGTACGTCGAAACTGTACAATTTCTTTTTTTTACCCAGCATCCCCTACTGTTTACACCTAGTAGTTAAAAGTACAGAAGATTCGTTTCAGGATTGTTTGTTCTAGAAAATCACATTATCTTCGAGTAAATATTTATTTCAGGGAACACGACTTTTTACTCGGAACGGGTTACTTGTTAGTCGACGCCGGGCACGTCGCGGAAATATTCCAGCGACCTGGAATAAAAAACTACGAGGCCGAGTTTTTGCGTTTCCGGGGCACTAAAATCGCGGGAAAACGAGCGACACGCGTGCTAGTTTCGCGGTTTACGGGGAGGAAAATCGGCCGGCGTGTTACCGCTGGCAAAATATTGAATTAGTCCGTGTTCTGTTTTTCAGGGAGCCATAAAGGGGATAAATTGGATTACGAGGCCTGTGGATATTATGAAACGATAACTCCATTCACGACATCCTTATTAACACTAAACCTACCGACACTTCATACACACCCATTCCTAGTAAGACTGGTCAAATGACTTTCTTTTTCTCTTTCACGAGTCAACGTATTTCTAATTTCTGCATTATATGTATAGAAACTTGTGTTCTAATGTTTGTTCGTAAGATATCCTTCTCTTTCATGTTAAACAAATTTTTTAATTTTCATCGGATAGAAGATAAAACGCCCTTAGAAACGAAGTTTGTTCCAAGTTGATACCGTAGTTAGTTCTAGAGAAAACAACTGTTTAAGAAAAGGTGTTGGCTAGCAATTACGCAAACATCCTGGATTTAAATTTAAATTAATTTTCAATTAAATAAACAATTTATGATCCAGTTTTATCGTACACTAGTCGTACGATCAGTACAAATTGCTGAAACTTCTTTGGGTATGTAGCATTAAAGTAAATTTCAAAATAAACATAGAAGATAGAAAAAATTATAGTAGGTGATATGATCGTTAGGTAGAGGATGAAATTCCCTTTAAAACGAGTGTTTGAACAAGTCGATAGCTTTATTAGTTCCGCAGATATGGCGATTTTAGTTTCAAGTCGATGCGGTGGCTAGTTCCGGAGATAAAAGGGTTCAAAGCGTTTGTTTACTTTCTTACTACGGTCTTGTTAAGGTCGTTGACCGCACGTGCTTGTCGAAACAAGGTCACTGGGCCACACGGTCGCGAGTCACGTGCGAGAAAGAGAGGTCCGGCGCGACGCGTCAGACGGAGACAGCGATAGTCGAATTAAGAAAAATTACCTTTTACATAAATTACGATATCTCGAAAACGGAAAGTCCGATCGACAAAAACCAAAAGCCATTTTAAAGGGAAAGGTCTACCGCTTCCAACGATAGCTCAATAACGCATAAAACACTAATAGTTTTGGAACTGCACGCGTCGAAAGTTTAACTATTTTTAATACGCGTTGATAGACTGTTTTAAGACAATGGAAACTGAAGATTCTCTCCTTTCGTCTTTGCTATACATATATTTCCTATTTACATCAGAAGCTAACCAGAATTTGGTGCCCAATTTTGCCCAGTTTCTCACAAAAAAATATAAATCATTCAGTCATGACCGGTCGTGGTAGGCAAGACAGACTACAAATTTTTCTCAGAAAACAAACAATAAGAATAGAAGTGAATATTGTAAAATTCATTGTACGTGTACTATAAGAAAAATCGTGAAGTTATATGGTGCTAAAATAACATTGTACGTCATGACTTTTAAACGAAATTTTAGAAACGGTTATTTAACCGGTCATGGTAGGTTTAGTGTTAATAAATGCACGTACGTCCCATTAATCTTCTAAATTTGATGTTCAGGGCGGGCCAACCACCTAACGATCGTAATCCCGGGATCTCTGATAGCTTAAGATACCCAGGAGAATTTATTTCACAGAGGTTTCGAAACAGTTTGATCGGAACTATTGGCTACTAAAGGTTTAAAATTTGATACGTTTCAAACTGATGGAAAATTGCCCTTGTTCCCGTTGAAGGTAAAGAATATCAATTATAGAAACCTGAACTAACAACTGTTCTTCGACGGTGGTTTCCACAATATTGCATAGGGATCAATACACGTATACGATTTATCGTGATTCAAAGGGGAGCTCTTCGAAAGCAGGTCGTATTTACTGGAATTATAATGCTAGCGGAATATACGAGAGGCTGAAATTCAGGGGAACGTTTGCTCAATTTATTGCGCACGGAAGGCCTGAAATTCTGCCCCTCGTACGCTACCACGAGCAACAAATATTTGTGAATCTATATGTATATTCGCTGTAACGAGTTCACCATGTTGCGTTTATAAAGCCATCGCGAGGAGTTTCTCGCCTTCCCCGGATTCTCTGCGTCTGTCTTCT